TTATTAAATTTGTTTGCCGCCCATCTTGTCCAGATATATGTCATTCCTCTAATAAGGACTTGCATGCTTTTGAACTACTAGGTGGGCAGGCCCTGGGGCAAGGAAGAGGAGGCCACCCCATTACAGCAGCTTATCTACTAATATTGTATCAGAGCCATTTTCCACTTTATTGTAGGAATATGTGCTTGTCAAGTGTGCAGATGACATAGAGTTGGGAGGGATGACTATTAAATGAGAGAAGAGAAAATAAATCTTGTGCATGTCAGCAAATGAAAGGGCTACATATAGGATGGGGAAGATCTATTTTGGCACTAGTATAGGTGAAAGGCTCTGAATGCTAGATGACCAGACATTGAATGCGAGTCAACAGTGTGATGCACTGCTAAAAACAAATGCTATTTTGAAGTTTGTGAACAGGAGCATAGAATTCAGAAAAGGGCAATCCAAACGGTGAAGGATCTGAAATCAAAGAGATGATCGAAGGGAGGTTTTATTTTTTTAAAATTAGGAATTGATTCCTAAATCTGAATTGTAGTAGAAAATAGTTTTTCAACTGGCCCTCTAATCTCCCTTTCTCATTGCTGGGGCTGTACATTAAGCTAAACCAAGAATGTAAAAGCTGTACTCCCATGGACTGAGGGTGGCCTACAAGATGGAAACTAATCAAGGAGAGAAGCAGCCTAGAACTAAGGAGAAACTTCCTGACAGTTAGAACAATTAACCAGTGGAACAACCTGCCTCCAGAAGCAGTAAATGCTCCAACACTGGAAGTTTTTAAGAAGACATTGGACAGCCATTTGTCTGAAATGGTATAGGGTTTCCTGCCTGAGCAGGGAGTTGGACTAGATGACCTCCAAGGTCCCTTCCAACTTTTATTATTATGGATCATCGCACAGTCAGCCAGATGTTCAGACTGGATTTGGCATTTTGTCTACCTATCGAGTCCTTACCCAGGACCTGGGATAGGCAGATGTGGATGTTTGATGGTATTACAGATATCGTTGCAGGATGGAAGCAGTTCCTAGTAAGGCCGCCTTTTGCAATTGACTAATAGCGAATTTGTCAATGCCAATGGTGTTCAAGTGGTGCTCCAGTTGTTTTGGGATTGCACCCAAGGAGCCTATTACTATTGGTACTACCCTTGCTTGCTTTTGCCACAGTCTTTCTATTTCTATTTGTAGGTCTTTGTATTTTGTTATCTTCTCCAGTTCTTTCTCTTCTATTCTGCTATCTCCAGGCACTGCCACGTCCACTATCCAGACTTTTTTGTCTTTCTTATCGACAATTGTTAAGTCTGGGGTGTTATGTTGCAGGTGCTTGTCTGTTTGAATTCTGAAGTCCCAGAGCAGTTTAATTTTATCATTTTCTATGACTTTCTCTATTTTATGATCCCACCAGTTTTTGCTTACAGGCAAATGATATTTTTTGCAGATCTTCCAATGCACCATTGTTGCTACTTTGTCATGCCGCTACTTGTAGTCAGTCTGTGCAATCTTCTTGCAACAGCTTACCAGGTGGTCCACTGTTTCTTCAGCTTCTTTGCATAGGCGGCACTTACTGTTTGTTGCTATCTTCTCAATTTTGACTTTATAAGCATTTGTCCTTAAGGCTTGGTCTTGTGTAGCCAGAATTAGTCCCTCTGTCTCTTTCTTCAATTTTCCTGCTCTTAGCCATTGCCAGGTCTTGTTATTATCTGCTTTCCCAGCTATTTTTTTAATGTATTGGCCATGTAGTGCTTTGTCTTCCCATGCCTCTATTCTGTTCTTCATTTGGTCTTTCTTGTAGGCCAGTTTGGTCTCTCCAGTAGTTAGTAAGCCTTCCTGATATACTAATTTCAGTGCATCTTCATCATTGTTCTTCAGATATTCTTCCAAAGCCATTTTTTCTTCTTCAACCATCTGATGTACTTGTAGCATTCCACGCCCACCTATTTGCCTTGGTAGATAAAGTCTGTCAATGTCACTGCGTGGATGAAGGGCATGATTCATTGTCATTATTTTTCTGGTCTTCCTATCCATTGCTTTTAGTTCTGCTTGAGTCCAGTCCACTATTCCAGCTGTGTACCTAATGACTGGGATTGCCCAGGTGTTGATTGCCTTTATGGTATTTCCTCCATTGAGTTTGGACTTTAAGATCTTCTTCACTCTCTTGATGTATTCACCTCTAATCTTTTTCTTGACTTCAGTGTGCTTGATGTTATCAGCTTGAAGGATACCCAAGTATTTGTAGTACTCTTCCTCATCCAGACTCTTAATGTTATTTTCGTGGGGCATCTTGATTCTTCAGTTTTCACTATTTTTCCTTGTTTGATAGTAAGTGTGGCACATTTGTCCAAGCCAAACTCCATTACAATATCTTGGCTATATATACGGATAGTGTTGAGCAGCAATTCTATTTCAGATGATGTTTTCCCATACAGCTTCAGATCATCCATGTAAAGGAGATGGGATAGTCTGGTAGATGTTTTTGATGTTTGATAGCCATGTCCTGAGTTATTCAGTATTGTTGACAGAGGAAACAGTGCAATAACAAATAGTAATGGTGATAATGAATCTCCTTGAAATATTCCTCTCTTGATATTAACCTCTCCCAGCCTCTCACCATTGATCTGCAACTGTGTCTTCCATTGTGCCATCGATCTTTGCACAAATTTTGTGATGTTTCTACTGACTCCTGTTATTTCTAGGCACTTGATTATCCAATCATGTGGCAGAGAGTCAAATGCCTTTTTGTAGTCAATCCATGCCACATTCAGGTTGGTCTTCCTTCTCTTGCAGTTTTCCAAGATCATTTTGTCTATTAGGAGTTGATCTTTTGTTCCTCTGCTATTGGGGCGGTTTCCTTTCTGCTCAGGTGGAAAGAGATTGTTTTCAACTAGATGCTGTTGTACTGCATCAGCTACCACACCAGTTAGTAATTTGAAAGTTGTTGGTAAGCAGGTAATTGGCCTGTAGTTACCTGGTGTTGCCCCTTTTGCTGGATTTTTCATTATTAGGTAGGTTTTCCCAGTTGTTAGCCACTTTTCAATTTCTCCTCCTTGTAGTATATTGTTGAACTGCTTGGCAATGAGTGGGTGTATAACAGTTAGATGTTTCAACCAAAACCCATGCAGTTCATCTTCACCTGGTGCTGACCAATTTTTGATTTTCCTTGCTCTTTTTTCTACCATTTTTGTTGTTATTACTAGTTCTTTCATTTCAACTTCTGTTTTATTTGCATCCACCTCTTTTAACCAAGCCGCATCCTTGTTGTATTTCTTTGGGTTATCCCATATCTGCTTCCAGAACTGCACTGTTTCTTCCTTGTCAGGTACTGACTGATTCCTTGCAGTTTCTCCATTGATGGATTGGTAGAAACGTTTCTGATTGGATTGAAATTGGAGGTTCTGCCTATAGTTTGCAATTCGAGCTTCATATCTACTGATTTTCCTCGCTATAGCTGTTATTTGTTGCTTTATTATTTCCACTGCTTCCTTGATCTTCTTTGTTTCTAAGTGGTATTTCTTGATTAGGTATTCTTTGGTCTTCTTGTTCTTCAGCTTCTTTTCTTTCATCTGTTCTAGCTTGCTTGCATGTGATTTTAACTTGCTGATCTTATTTTCTAGTCTAACCTTCCATTTTTGTAGTGCACTGTTTGTTTGATTTTCTTCTTTGTTGATTTTGCATCCCAGGTATTCAGTTATAACTGCAACTGTGCTGTACATTAGTTGGTTTGTTTCTTGCAGTGAATTGGCTACTACTACTACTACTACTACTACTACTACTACTACTATTATTTAGTATTTTGTCATTCAACAAGCAACCTAAATATCTTGGCCATTTGGAAGCATGTTAGGGGCAGGATTAGGGGACAAAAGACATTTTATTCACCCCTTAAAATCTCACCCCCTGATTGGTTCCAGCCCCCCTGAACTTTTAGATTGCAGTTTCCAATATATTGACAACGGTCAATAGTCTGGTCTTCAATTAGCTAAGTTGTCTGCACCCCAAAACTAAGTTATTCTTCTGGTGTGGTTGTGGCTTATGCTTGATGGATTTATACAACCTTTAGAGCACTGAAAATCTTGATGTATGGTTTAAGTTTCTATGTGAAGCCAGTCATTATTGGCTTCCTTGATAAACTTGAATGTGAACCCAGTATGTGAATCTACTCTGTTGTTAAGTTTGTTGCGTGAGTGTGAGAGAGAGCACGATGTGTACAGTTCTGAATGGACAAGAATCCATGAGTTACATCCTGCATTACCAGCAAAAAGGGTCTATTATAGTCTGAATTATGTAAAGCTAAAATTTTAATGTGCTTTTTAGCAATGGCAAATTACAATGTTTTTCAATGTTAACTGTATCTATAAATAAGTTCCAGATAGTTTATCAGCCATCTCTCCCTCCCTCTCTCTCTCTCTCTCTCTCTGTGTGTGTGTGTGTGTGTGTGAGAGAGAGAGAGGGGGGGGGGGCAGGGGAGGATTCTTTTGTTTCCTCTAGAATTAGTTAGCAGATAATATATTACTGTGAGATTTCATGTAGTGAATGATTTGAGAGCAAAGGACCCAACAGCTTGAATTCCTCAACCTTTGTGATTTGGAGGGGGGGGGACCAGCAGGTGTCTGCTGAAGAGGCCAGCTAGAAACAACAATTACTTTCAAAAGTGACTTGTTTCTTTGATAGCCACTGACAATAGAAATATGTAAATGAGCAAATCTGAAGCAGACATAACTTCCCCTTTTGATTTTTGGCCAATGTTTTTAAAATAAGGGAACATTTTTCTTTTGTGTTTTGCTTAAATTGATAACAGAACCTTCCATAAATAGTTGTTTTTGAAAATATCGCTCAAAGAAAAAAAATTAATGTACCCTCTTTAAGTAAAATCTTTAGAAATATAATAGCTATGTTGTGAGAAATTATTATTAGGGGATTAAAGTTAGAGGGAATATAGTAATCAGAAGGGAAATGACATAGTAGTTAATGCTGGCTTTAAAAAAAAATAACATTTTTTTCTTGTTTCAGACAGAAAAATAGCAGTCCTCCTGCAAAACAGTGCTTTCTTGGAAAACAAACAAGCAAGGTACTGTGACATTCAGACTCTATAATGATACAAGATCCCTAAATCTAGTTCAGAAGCATGTTCACAGTTACCTGGCACAACTATCAGAATATGAAATCATTAGGGAATATTTCAAGTCTTGGAGACAAAGCTCTGCTTGCTAAGAACTTTTGTTCTGTAGAAAGACAGGGAGGTACAGTGAACAGCAGAATCAAAAGGCTGGAAATCTGCTGCTGTGAATAAACGTTAGCTGGTCCCTGAGGTGATTTGTCTGTGCACTTCACTTTCTACAGATGTGAGATCCTCTTTTTTTTTTCTTCCTCACAAGGACCTGAGGTTTTTTGGTAGCACTTTGATATCCTGTTTGAATTCAATATGTGAAATGGAGGAGTCGCTCCATGACTGGGAGCACAGCCGTCTTTGAAGTCTGATCCAATTTTTGCTGCTTACCATTTGATGTTGCAAGGATGAAATGAAGAAAATGTACAGTTTTTGCCAGTAGCTCTGCTGAGCATATGTAAGATTAAAAAAACAAAATCCCTTGGATGATGTACTTAGAAATGTTAAGCAGATTAATACCTTCCTATAGCTTTTTTTACTTCTAAAGATACAAATTAACTTTGAGCAAAAATCAGCATATATCATATGCCATTATTCACAGTTTTTCTGTGCCAGAGAGGGAAACAGGTAGTAGGAAAAAAGTAAAAGTCTCGTGATATAGTCACAAAACGCAACTGCCGAGGAAATTCACAAGGTTTGGCCCACTCATATATGGGCTCAACAGAACTGGATTGACTGGACAGAATAATAAGGTACTATTAACTAACCTCCCCTGGTTGAATCCCTCCAAATGTGATAATAAACTATCATGTGGGTTGAGAATTGTGGTTGAATACATCTGGAGGCATCAATTTAGGGAAGACTGTCTCCAATCTAGCACTGAAACTTGCCAGAGACCATCCAGAATATTAAATATAATACAGTTGTAAAATAGCGTGTGCATGTCTTGATGACTACCAAGTTTGATTGAAAAACAACTTATTTCTTTTCTTCCCTTTTCTTTTCTTTCAAGATTTTAGCTGAAACTTCAGCATCCCTGGCCATTCTGAGGCATTCAGACCAAGTGAAAGATTTGCAACCTTTCTGCCACCCCCATTTAGCTGCAGATCATCAGCTCCCTTGTCCACAAAGACCATTGGAAACTCAAGGTAGGACATCTATGGAAAGGCATACTTGTTAACATATACCTATTCCTATGTAAAAAAAACCAACCTTTACCATTCCCTAAAACAGTGGTTCTCAACCTGTGGGTCGGGACCCCATTTGGGGTCGAACGACCATTTCACGGGGGTTGCCAAACAACGCAGTCTGCCATTTTTTTCCCCCTTTTCCTTAGCTGTGCTACTCCCTTTTATTCTATTGGCTTTTGAAAGCGAATAGAATAGACTCTCTTGAATAGAGTCTAATTCTATTGGCTTTCAAAAGCCAATAGGAATTGTCCAGGCTGTCTCTGCCCTGCTGAGCCCACCAAAAGTCCCATTCTGCAAACGGTGCTGCACCAGTTGAGTAGTCCTCGACTTACGACTGGTTGAGTAGTCCTTGACTTACGACTGGTTGGGGGTCGCAGCATTAAAAAGGTTGAGAACGACTGCCCTAAAAGAACCAAAAACACATAGACATCAGATTCAGCAGAAGTCGAATAATCCTGTCAATCTTTTTCACCTTCATTTTAAGTAATACAGATTAATTGCAAAAGCAATCTACTCCATCTTTCCCTATTGCGTGCAGAGGCATTGTCTGCGGATGATGTAGCTATTATTCTTTTAAACAACACAGTAAATCTCCAGAAAGATTTTAGATATACCTTTTGGACTATCTGTACCTGTTCATTCTCACTTTTGCCTACATAAGATTTGCAGAATCAGATTCAGATCCTATAAGCCTATGTAAGAGAAATCTGGAAACAATTATATGAGGATGGTTGGCAGCTAAGATAAAATGATATTGAATCAAACAAGGTAGATAAACTATGTCTGCAAGCCCCTCTCCAAAAAAATTAGGGAGTGAAGCAAGGTCTGTATTTAAAAGAGTTAGTCCAATGGTTTGTGAAAAAAGAAGGAAGAGTAATGTGAAGGATTATATGGGCTTTGTACTGAAGAGCAGAGAAAGGATAAGTAAGGTTAGCTCTGGGCAGTTTTGTGTTGGTTGGGCTCCTTTCTCCAAGGCCGGTACCAATTGGAGTTAATAGGGAGTAAAAGACCCAGCTCACATTGTTTTATGGTGTGCCACAGGGCTCAGTACTCTCTCCACTCCTTTTTAACATCTATATGAAGCTGCTCATTGAGATAATCCTTCACCATGGGTTGAAGTATCACCAGTATACTGATGATACTCAGCTTTTTATCTCCACCCCTGGTGACACAAGTGATGCTGTTGCTGCTCTCTCACCATGCCTAGAGGCTATGGGAGCCTGGATGGGGGACAGCAGACTTCAATTGAACCTTGAAAAGACCGAATGGCTTCGAGTGCATGGAGCTTCAAGATCTGAGACTTTGACACTTGTGGTTGTTCCTGGATTTGCAACTCTTGCTCAAAGAGCAGGTGGCAGTTGCAGCTAGGAGAGCCTTCGTACAACTCTAGGTTGTGCACCAGTTGCAGCCTTTTCTGGATCAGATGTTGCTGTGCTCAGTCATTCAAGCCCTAGTCATCCCACAACTGGACTATTACAATATAGTTTACATGGGGATACCCTTAAAAAGGATTGAATGAGCCATGATGGCACAGTGATTAGAATGCAGTATTGCAGGCTAATTTTGCTGACTGCCAGCAGTTCGATTCTCATCGGCTCAAGTTTGACTCAGCCTTCTATCCTTCCAAGGTTGGTAATAGGAGGACCCAGATTGGAGGCAATATGCTAATTCTGTAAACCACTTAGAGAAGGCTGTAAAAGCACTATGAAGTGGTACATAAGTCTAAGTGCTATTGCTATTGCTATTTGGAAGCTAGAACTGGTACAGAGCGTGGCAACACAGGCAGTCTACTCTAGGGCCTGCCTCTAGAGTGACCCATGTTATATTGCTGTTCCACGAGCTGCACTGGCTGCCGTTTGCTTCTACATGCAATTTAAGGTGTTGGTTATCACCTTTTAAAGCCCTACATGAGGAACTCTCTCATCCCAATGGAACTGGCCTGCCCCACCCATGCCAGCAGAGGAGGCATAGTAGTTAATTTAAGACATACATGTGAGAAAGTTGTTTCTTGTTATTGGTAAATAATGGGAGTCAGAAATCCTTGCTCTAGTGCAGATGGCCCAGGGGCTTAGTAATAAATCCAGATCATTTCTTTTGTCCTGTCCATGATGACAATATTTTAATATGTCTGAAATATCAAATCTGTACCAGGAAGGGAACAATAGGTGAAAGCAATCTATCCAAAATAACATTTATATGCTGACACTTTACTGCAAAGTATGAATGTTTTATCCACCCAAGTAAGGCCTTGAGGATTATTACGTGTATTTGTATATTTGAAATATATAGTCCAGTAGACCAATTGAGTCTATAGGATGGAAAGTGCTTCTCTCTCAAAAGCTCTCTGCCTCCTGTTTTGGGATAGGCCAATTCAAGATGTGCATCCTGCATGCTGATTGGTTGATCCAACTTCCTCTTCTGTGCTTTGCTGTTTGAGTGCCCCCTAGCCAAACTGTTAAAATTCACAGACATATAAATGAAACAGTTATGCAACTGTCTATGAACTAAAGGTGCATATGTTCCTTCATGTGCAGTGCCGGAGAAACCTGCTCGACCCTTAAGTGACATAGGGCTCTTACAACCAGTACTGCCTTACTGACAGTTTTTAAAAGCAAGAATGCAAAACAAAGCAAGACAATTTTAACAGTCAAATTTCCTGGCTGGTTAAATAATTCAAATTAACATTATAGATTAGAATAACTTTCTAAATAAAAAAAATATTTCCTATACAATGAGATAAAAGGGTAGGATTATATGCTAAATTCATAATTTTTACAAATAAAAATGTTGAGCTTTAACATTATAGAAGCATAAATAAACAATTAGCACTATTTCCTGGCTAAAAATTTTACTTAACTCTACAGAATTAGTACACTTTTGAAATAGATACTCATTGTGCTTCATTTACCTGGATTCTTTCAGTCTTGGAAATTCCCCAACTTTAATTTGAGAATGATTTTAGTTCTCTAGGTTTTTTTCTGGCCTCATTTCACAATTGGAGCTCTGCCCCTAGTTTTATTTAGTAATATTTTTTTATTTTTATTCAGAAAATTAAAAGTCCCAAAAGAAAAAGAAAAAAATTACAAAAACAAAACTAGACAAAAATATTTTTAACAAGGGGATTAAAAAGGCAAAAACAAAACCTATATATACATATGTTGTTCCCCTAGCTGACTATTGATAAATTATATTACAACACTGACCGACTTCCTCCCCTTGAAAGGAACTGTTTGTCTTCACAATGTCTACAAAAAGAGATAAAACTCTCTGGTAAGCTTTTGAAAATAAATGCTCCTTAGCTTAAAAGTTTTGTCCAAAAACTTTAATGAATAATTTGATAGGTCAGCAATGGTTTTGAATAAATCCTAGGGCACAGTCAAAGGCAGAGAATAACAGCTAGACTTGATTTACATTCTAATGGACTGGAATCTGGTTTGGCACTTTCTGTAAAGAAAAAAGAGCCTGGTCTGAGATCTGGGTTTGGTGGAAAAGGTTGAAAGGGGCTTGAGTACAAGAAACTGAGAGATGATGAAATTGATGAGTAATGGACTGGATTTTATTGGCAAGATGGATCAACTTTGTAAAATGGATTCATTATATTTAACCAGACAACCACTAACAAGAGATGCTGTGTTTTGCTTACAGAGAGACATTCTGAACAATGGGTGCTGCAGAGATATTTACAACAGAGGTTTATGATTCGGGGAAGTGAGATGCAATTGTTGGAAAAGTTCTCTCAATTAAAATCTTAAGGAAAAATTTTATTATTAAGAATCAAACAAGGATACTTGATCCTGAATGGACCAGACTGCAGTGATTTGTTATATGTGTGTGTATGTGTGGAGAGAGGGAGGGAGGAAGGGAGAGAAGGGAGGGAGGGAGAGAGAGAGAGAGAGAAGACAGATGTGTAACAGATCAAATTGGTTCAGAACAGAACAAAAGAAAACAGAATAGAACAGAATAGAACTGGAAGGGACCTTGGGAGTCTTCTAGTCCAGCCCCCTGCTCAAGCAGGAGAACCTATACCATCTCAGACAGGTGACTATCTAGTCTTTTCTTAAAAATCTGCAGTGATGGAACACCCACGATTTTTGAAGACAAGCTGTTCCACTGGATTCTAGGAGTTCTGCTCCTGCTTTTAAAAAGGAACTGTCTTTCTAGCAAAGAGAAAGGTTGGGTTCTGCATGTGATTAAAGGCTGTATGTCAAGCAAAGAAATATGGATGAGGAATGTTTGTAGTTTGAGGAGATGTCTATTTGCTCTGAGTTCTGCTGGCTGATAGGGGAATTATATTTACAATGTTTAGATTTAGCCTTTTTTAAAAAAATAGATCCTAGGACAATTCATATTATTATAATAAATTGAAAACAATTCAAATTAAACAATCAACCAACAGTATGGCAACAGAATAAGTCCCAAATATCTATAAATGTATTCTGTCCTATGCCTATTATAAAAATATTGATACTGTTCTAGTTAAGTATTCAGTTAATTAACATTAAGGAGCAAGAAATCTGGAATGTTATTCACATTCAACGTATGCAGTTTATGGAGCTTTCTCTCATTTTAGTGGGCATATGGTCACAGTCTGTCACATATTGAGTAGTTTCCACTGCAAAATCTGAATCTTCTCTAAATACAAGAGGAAATGCATTTCCTTATTATGCTTTTCACTTTACATAGCCTCCTGAAGGTGTGGGCATTACACTGGAACTTTTATAAGGATTCCATATTAAAAAAAATAAATCTCCCAAATGAAACCATCACCTCCATACACTTTGGGAAGTTCAACAAAGCAAAATAAAAATTCAAGATTGCTTCTCTCAGGGAAAAAAATGGTGGGATCCAGCTTTCTCTATAGGTAAGGTAATTGAAGCAATTGCATGTAACTTCAAACTCACTTTTAACAAATATTGTGTCAAAAGAGCCCCAGCCATTATTTGATTTTGAAGAAAACA